CTATAACAGCACCACAATAGTGGCTAACAGCACCGACATAGCGACTATAACAGCACCATAATAGTGGCTAATAGCACCGACATAGCGGCTATAACAGCACCACAATAGTGGCTAACAGCACTGACATAGCGGCTATAACAGCATACAACTCAACATTTCACAGCACAACACAGCACAACTAAACAACTTACAGCACAACTAACACAGCTCACAGCACAGCTCATCATCATTTACAGCTCAACTCAGCATAAAACAACATTTATCAGCAATTTCAGCATTTTCATCTAGTCAGCACAGCATATTCATCAAATCATTTTTCATTCCTAAATTCAAGTCATATGTATACAAAAGTAAAAAAAATAATAATAATAACAATAATAATTTTTTTCAAAATCGATGAATTGTTGAAAACTATGCCAAACGAAATCCAGAACGTATTGAGTACATTTAGAACATACACGATGAATCATGGTGTGATATGGTGTTTGACTGATACTTAGCACGTGTGGGGCGGTCAGCGATCTTTCCGTTGACGCTTTCACTGAAACAGTTGTTGTTGGTGGTGGTGGTCTTTTGTTTCTTATTCAGTGTTGGGTCATCCACGGCATCATTGGTAGAGACCCTCTTATGAGATCGAGACATCGGTAGTTATCTCCCACACTAGTCCTCGATCGGATTTCCTAATGAGACATGTGAATTGCAGGCACATATACATGTAGTATTTATATTGGATTTCGCCACTTTTACTAACCAAGACATGAAATTTTCACATTTTATGATAGGCTGTCCTGCTCGTCAGTGTTCCTACTCACGTGATGCACAAATTCATATATAAATCTCTAAGATATATTTTTAAAATATTAAAATTATTTTAAAACTATTACACGTAAAATAATAAAATTAAATAATTCTAAAATATGTATTGAAATAAGAAGAGGATAAGGTTTCTATACGAATGTATGAAGTGAGTCAATAATATCTTAACTAAAATATGAGATATATAATAATGCCAGCTATTTTTCTTTATGTTAGAATAGTATTACTTTATTATACAGCAATTGAAATAAATTTAATGACAAAACTTACTCTTTTGTCATTAGTATAAGTGTCATAAAATTTTTCGTGCCATTTTTTAAAATAATGTGTAAATTACTTTGTTACCAAAGATAATTTTTGTATCTTAATAATTTTTACACATTTTTATACCTTTAATTTTCTACCTGATAAGATGATTTTATAATCAACCTTTTTACAAAATTTTAATCAAATCAAATTAATCTCAAAGTATTGTAAATAACGACTAACAAATGAGTCACTGATTTTTGCTAAAAATAGTTATAAAGAAAAACTTAATATAACCAAGGAGTTACACATGCACAAATGATTACTACAAGAAAAATGTAAATTTTTGACAGAATTTTCCGACGGATTTATATTTCTGTCAGAAATTTTTGACGGAATTTTCCGTCAAAAACTTTTGACGGAAATATAAATCTATCAGAAATTTTCGACATAAATTTTTTGACGGAAAATTCAATCGAAAATTTTTGACGGAATTATAAATCTGTCAGAAATTTTTGACAAAAAATTTCCAAAAAATTTCTGACGGAAAATTCTGTCAGAAATTTTCGACGAAAAATTCCGTCAGAAATTTCTGACGAAATATTCTGTCTAAAATTTTTAATTATTATTTTTAAATCTTATTTTTTTTATTTTAATTTCTTATTTTTAATTTATTATTTTTAATTTTTTATATATATTTGTAGTATTAAAAATTTTATATGTCTTTTAAAGGTATAAATATATATTATAATTATATATTATAATTATTTATTAAAAGTTTTTTATATCTACGATTAGTATGAAAGATGAAAATAAATTAAGTCACACTATATTTTATTATAATTTAGTTGGTTTGAACATAACTTCTTTTAAAAATATATATTTTAAGTATAACTTATATATCTATCATAGACATTTTTTAAATATTTGGGTATAACTAGAATCATAAAGACTTATTTTATAATAATTTAACACTATTAAAAATATAAAAATAAATATATTAAATTTTATAAAACTAAAGTTTAATTTATTTATGATATAAATATGTTTTTAATATCTAATATATATTTTTAGATGATAATTTATTTTAAAATATATCTTATAACAACAATTCTAAATGGAACATAAATCTTCTGATTTTTCTTATTTTGATTTTTTTAATCAATGTATACAATTTTACTATTTTGATTTTTTCAATCAACGTATACAATAAATAAAAACCACAAAAGATAAACATGCATATTACAAATTTTATTTTATCAAAAAATTATTTATTTTAATATATTACATTATATATGTGAATATTAAGACACATATATATATATACATATATATTATAGTTAAACTTTTTTAAAAAATTAATTCATTATTAAGAAATTTTTTTTATCACAT